GGCAAGGAGCCCTGCAGCCCCCTTCCCTGCCAGGAACCCCCTACAATTCCCCCTCCCCCCACCAGCAGCCCCTGTCAGTCCCCTGAGCAGGAATCCCCAAACCCCTCTCTGTCTGGGCAGGGGACCCCCTTTTCCATACTCCACCAGGCAGGCCCTCAAATCACTCTCATAGTGAAAGACCTCAGTCCAACAACCAGTGACCCAGAGTAGCAATTCCCACTCCCCCTTTCCCAGAGCTGTGCTGCTTGGGGCCTCCCCTGACTTCTGATTCCTGTAGATTTAAATGTATGGTTAAAGTAAATACAGGGGAACAAAGGGCTCCCCCAGCCTGTGTCCGGGGGTCTGTTTCAGTGGATATAGTGGGCAGCAACACCAATCCATCTTATTTTTTTTTCCCCAAGGCACCTATTCCTTCTATCTGAGCATCATGTAACAATTAAAGATAGCTTTGACCATGTGGCCTCCCAGCCTCCCCTGCTCCACTGAATGTTACTCAACTGCAATCCTTAGTCATCCCACTGAAAGAAGTGTTAACCTCATAGATGGAGGAAAAGGTTTGGGGGAATCAAGTATTAAAAAGCCCATGGAACTATGTGGTGTGTATTAAATATGACACTTCAGTCACTCGCCACTTGTTCTCTCATCTGTTCATTGTATGCTTCCTTAGATTATTAAAGTCTTAGGGCCTTTTTTTACAATATCCAGCAGACTTTTGGACTCTGTAAATAATAAACCCCTGACACCTTGCCATAGAGTGGACAAGAGGCTGAGTCCTAGGGGAAGACATGCATGTATAGTAAATTGCTCCTTTTGTATCCGGTGTGAAGGAGAAATGTGATCATGCTTTGTCACCTGAAGTCAGATTTGAGGCCATTGTTCCACAGCATATAATGTCTTCTTCCTTTAGGAAACTTGTGAAGAATGTGTGGGCGCACGGCCTGCGCTCTGGGAGCAGATCGCATCCGCCGGGCCTGTGTGTACCGTGATAACCATGGTAGAACAAGGCAACCTGAATGGAGAGATGCTGATAAATACAGCCCCTCCTACAACAAGAGTCCCCAGTCCAACAGCCCTGTGCTGGTTTCCCGACGACACTTCGAGAAGGTAACCTTCAAGCAGAACAAATTACTCAGCATGCATTATGGTGCATCATATACAATGACTGACTAGTAGTTTGAAGGGGGGTAACTGTATATTTCACAACTGTACTTGACCAATTTGGTATAAACGTCTTTATATTTTGGAGCATCACAGTTTGCAGCCTCTTCAAGCCTTAGTAGTTTAGTTTTAGTTCTGTATCTCCAGACTCCTACTGCTAGTATGTGCTTTGCAGGAATTCATACTGACATTTCAGGCTTTTCAGTACACATGCTTGCCATATTAATAGTTCCGTATGTGTTCCCACTTCTACAGTAAAAAGGTGTTTTAAGTTCTGCTGAAATGTCAGGAATTAGTTATTTGTTACAACTGCTTAGATTTGTAGAACCAGAAATGTTTAAAGGTGAAATTTAAAAACATTAACACTTTATCATCAATACACCTGCACAGCATTTGAAAACTACTTCCTCCTTTACTTTTCTGCTTAAATACTATACTTAAAATTCCACAATTCTCCTGCAATAGCTGATGAGATCACAAAGAAGAAAAAGATGGTGCTTGAAACATATTTATTTATTGTTTGTATTACTGTAGTGCTTAGGAGCCCCATTTATGGACCAGGACCCCATTATGCTAGACGCTATACAAACATAGAACAAAAAAGATTGTCCCTGTCTCAATGAACTTACAATCAATGTGTAAGACCAGAGACAACAGATGGATGTAGGCAGACTGATGGACGGAGTACAAGGAAACAATGAGATGGTATTGGTCAGTATGATAGGTAGTGGTCTCAAGCGTACCAGCAACCTAACTATTAACACAGGCAAACATCTGATCATCCAGTCATCTTTATTAAACTACTTTCTATGCTTATTCACTATTTGGGGACAGTGTGACACACTGTATTTACAATGTTGAAGCAGAAACAATTGGATTTGTGCTTTTCTTTGCTGCTTTCTGTTCTGCTTGTAGGCTTGAAAGGTTTTACAAAACTGAAGGCCAATAGAAATGTTTCTGTGTAGTTTTGTTCATTGGGAACTTTTTTTAACAAACCATTTCCCTGTGGTATTAGCCACCCAAACATTGCAGCTTTTGGCTAGCACCTGAGAATCAGAAAGTGAATTTGACTAGAAGCAGAAGTGAAACCCACAGTCTGTTTCCATTGTCAAAGCTGAGAAAAAATGCAAAAATGTGAACAGTGAAAGTAAGTTAGACTTTAAAAATGCTCAGATTATTAAAACAAAGTTATTGTTTGTAACGTTTGTAAGATTTTTTTTAAATAAAAAAAGATAAGGAACCTAACAGTGTCCTTTTATAATTATTCACTGCATTGGGGAAGGCCCTAAGATGACCATGTTGCTGGGACTTTTTTTAGTAGGACAGAATGTATAATATGCTTAGAGTGGAAGATCCCTGAATAGTATTAGTTAAATAAAAATTGCAAATTTACTATTATACGCAAATATTGTATTATATAGTGAATGTTCCTTGTAACCAGTGGTGTTTATATTTTTTTTGAAAAATAGCCTTATTGCATATTGCCAGGTCTGAAAATTAATCCCTTGCATATTTTCAATGACTTTCTCAGAGGAGTAATAATTACTGATTACTTTTGAATCATTTTTCGGTTGCAGTCACGTATCAGCACAGAGTATATTCTCACACCCATACAAAACAGAAGTGATAGAATTGCAAAGAAAAGTAACTAGCAGAACAGCAACCAAAAGTTTCTTTCTTGTCAGAAAGTAACCTTTCTTCGTAAAATATAAGATGTTACTTTAATAAGTTATCTGTAAGCTCCTCTTTTCTTGTTAGGATCTCTGCCACTAGTTGTAGTGAGTGAGTTTGCTGTGATCTGTTTGTAGTCTCCACTATATAATGGAGAAGGCAGAGAGCTACAATATGTGCTGATTACTTTGTAATTTGCTGTCTGCTCCTGTCTTGCGTGTACTGGCATGAGGTGCTTTTCTATTTTATGTGACAGGATGCTGACTCTTCTGAGCGTGTCATTGCGGCTATGCGCTGGGGACTGGTCCCAGCCTGGTTTAGAGAAGCTGACCCTTCCAAAATGCAGTATAAAACGTCCAACTGTCGCAGCGATACCATGATGGAGAAACTCTCCTACAAGGTAAGTTTACAATATTACTGCATTTAATGAGTCTTGAGAGAAGGAAGATTTTATAATCATCAGCTCCTAGCAGTGCTACTAATGACTTGTAAACTAGAGATCTAAACCTCTTCCTAACAAGAATTGGACACCACCACCCTGTTGCACAGAAAATAAATCCTTCTGAATGACACATTGTAAAACCTAGCATCTCAGTTTCATTGAAATAGAAGAACCCAACAAACGATAGCTTTTCGCATGCTGTATTTGACCAGGTGGCTTTAAGATAACCCACTGTTTGGTTCAAGTACAGTTCAGACTGGAGAAAACAAAGGCATTGGTTCTATAAAAAGAAAACTTTGGGAATGGGAATAAAATACTACTTGAAATTAATAAAAAGCTTGTCTGTTAAGCCAATTGAGCAGCAGCACAAAGAGCTCTATAGGTAGACTTACCCTGCCCCCCTCAGCCGGAAGGTGGGTGTACTGTTTGGTGGGAGTCTATAAAAGGGGGTTCTGTCGTGCTCTAAATGATGGAAGGTGAGAACATGAAGGATTATTTTGTCTTACTGCTCATAACCTTCAGTGAAATAGAGACTTTCAGAATTACCCTGAGTATTACTTGCAGAACACCTACAACTTAATTTTGGTGTGGGGTGGGGACTTAGGTGCCTATCTCCCATTGATATTAATGAAAGGGAGTAGACAGAGTGCCAATTACTACAGTGATATATTTTAAACTAAATCAAACTTCCTGAATGAATCGGAATAGAATGACTAGATTTCCATCTTGTGCTAGTGTGGAGTTCTCATGCTGCCACCACCATGTATTAATGCATTTTAATTCTTAGGTGGTTAGGGGACACTACTAGATTACTATGTATAAGACACATATACAGTAATTAACTACATAATAAGGCTCTAACTTCCTCAAGAGCTTTTAGTGGTGGCATAAACCCTGATAGCAGAGCATACTTTTATGTGAACAGAACCCCAGTGTGGACCTACAGCTTTTATGTCTATGCTTTTTAGGATCAGTTATAGAATACGAAAAGGGTTATAAAGAAATGTGTTCCCTATACTTCAACCATGGCCTTGTCCTCCCCTCCTTCTCCCACCCCAACAAACATGTTTCTTTTATTTTAATACCTCCCAAGCTGCCATCTGCTTTGATTTGTGACATGGTCAAATCTTCTCTTCCCAAAGGGACCTCTGATAAAGGGCAGGCGCTGTGTAGTGCTGGCAGATGGATTCTATGAATGGCAGCAGCACAATGGAAAGAAGCAGCCCTATTTCATTTACTTCCCACAGCCCAAGCAAGAAATGGTACTGGATTCCCAGCAACAATGTTGTTCTAATACTCAGCAGTGCAATATAGCACTTTTTGGTTTGAAAAGGCTTTAGAAATATTAATTAGTTGTCACTTATCCTGAAGAAAAACATATTTATTTTGTAAATTCCTTCTCACTCCAGCTGTGTTTGTGATTGAGGTTCAGGCATAGGATATTGGAGACAGTGCAGCTTGAATGTGTGGTGAGGCCTAACTTCCAGGCAGGTGGCAAGAGGGCTTTGGCGGTGATGGAAGATGTCCCGCAGTCACGTAGTCATCCCCTATATATTAAAGTCCTGAAATGCAGAAAGATTAACTTCTTTTATGTTTGGAACTGTTGCTGTAATATGTGTTGGTACACCCAAAGCTGCAGTCTGTGCATGGCCTTTTGATCTACAGTGTGCTTCCCATCACTGTTCTAATGTAGGGCTTGATCCTGAGAAGTGCTGAGCACAAAGTGTTCCCATTGAAGTCAATGGCCCTTGCTAAAATTTCACAGAACAGAGTTCTGAATAATCTCAGAAACTCTTCTCTGCCTGTTGTGCTTTCTCCCCTCGTTATTTATTTTTTCATGGAAATGTAATCTATTACATGAAATATCTTATCTGCTACTGTTGCTTATCCTTTCTCTCCTGTGACCTCACAATAATTTCCAAAGTAACAGTTTACAATGCACAGGTGGAGGATATTGACTTTGAGAGGGGGAAAAGTATCAATGTAAGATGACGCTCCTAATAAAGTTTTTGGGTAAACATCCCTAGAAATAGAGAATAGTAATTAAAATAGCAAATGAGGCATGGGTAGCTGAACTACACTGGTTTTCAGTGTTTTCTGTGAGGTATCAGATAGCCTTTAAATATCTTTGTATTGAAATTACCTAGCATAGGAAGAAGGTTAGGAAAGATTGTGATCATTCTGTATCTTTCTTTTCCAGGCAGATGGGAAAGATGATGATGAAGAGTGGAAAGGCTGGAGGTTACTCACCATGGCTGGGATTTTTGATTGCTGGGAGCCCCCTGATGGAGGGGATGCATTGTACACCTACACCATCATCACAGTAGATGCTTCCAAAGGCTTAAGTGATATCCATAACAGGCAAGTGAGAATGACTGGCTGTGGCTGGTAGAGTTTAGGATGGCAGAGATTAGTGGGGAGTGTGTGGCAGAAAACCTTCCCTTTACTTCTGTGCTGTGTGGAGCAGGTAGTGTGACTGTATTCCCCTACATACATAGCCTTGGTGGCCAAGAACACACAGGCCAGAAATTCTTCCATGCTCTTTCTATCTGATCCCCTTAGAGAAGTACATTAGAACATTACTGACTTGTTTCAGGTCACTGAATCTTGCTCTTGCCATAAATCACTGTGTTTGGCCCCTTGCTGGTAGCAATAAGAATTAAATTGCTCATAGGGCTGCCTAGTGATTGACAGACCCTTTGCCTCCTCTGGGGAAGCAGGCTGCTTTGGTGAAGTTAGCACACTGTTTGCCTCACAGAAAAACATTGTATTGCTTAGTCCTTTCCCCAAGGCTTCAGAAATGAGGTCTGTGTGCCTTCTAGCCATTTCTTAACATGATAATAGTTATTGCCAACACAGTTAATCCCCAGATAGCTGGAATCTGGATTATGTTAATTCTGGATCTTTGTTTGGCTTTCACCCAAATCACTCAGTCCTGCGACATGGCGGATAAGTTGTGTGTCTCTATGTGGTCTTAAGATTTCTGCATCTCCTCCCATGTTTAGGATGCCAGCTATCCTGGATGGGGATGAGGCCATCAGGAAATGGTTGGACTTTACAGAGGTATCAACACAGGAAGCCCTTAGGCTCATCCACTCCACAGAGAACATTGCTTTCCACCCGGTTTCCACTATAGTAAACAACTCCAGAAACAATACACCAGAATGCCTCGTTCCCATTGGGTTGGGACCAAAGACGGTGAGATTTGGTGGTTGACACAAATCAGACTTCCCTACCATAATACTGTTTAATAATAATAAATAGAATTGTCCTTTGACCTCTGTCTAACTGGGGGTTCCGCTGCTCTTTCCAAACATTAATGAATTAATCCTGCCTGTGAGGTAGATAATTTATACCCATTTTCATAGATGCATAGATTTTTCAGGCTGGAAGTGCCTTTTACAGAGGAGAAAATGGAGGGCCGGATTTAGGGGCAGGTGATTCAGGTGACCGCCTGGGGTGCCGGGCTTAGAGGGCACCAGGCTCGGGGGGTGCTGTTTTTGTTAATAGCGACAAAAGGGAAAATAGAATGTTTTGAAGTAAAATATAAATACAGATTGCAGATCCTAGCGTGCAAATTTATCATCTTATATGACAGGATAAATCATGCATCAAAGTTGTGAAATGGGCTACAAATGCAACAAAAATAAGATATTCAAAAGTTTAACAAATGGGGGGAGGCCACTCCATAGAATATAAGAGAATAAATCACATGTTTTGTTAGCTGTTCATTAGGGGCTGGCAGCTCACTCAGCGCCTGAGGATGAGAGGTAGATTATGCCATATAAGATGCTTGAGCTACCCCTTCTAACTGATTCAGGATGGCTCTGAGAAACTCCCAAATCAGGGAGTGTTATTTACTCCTTCTCATAACACAAGAACTAGGGGTCACCAAATGAAATTAATAGGCAGCAGTTTAGAACAAACAAAAGGAAGTATTTTTTCACACAACACACAGTCAACCTGTGGAACTCCTTGCCAGAGGATGTTGTGAAGGCCAAGTCTATAACAGGGTTCAAAAAAGAACTAGATAAGTTCATGGAGGATAGGTCCATCAATGGTTATTAGCCAGGATGGATAGGGATGGTGTCCCTAGCCTCTGTTTGTTAGAAGCTGGGAATGGGCAACAGGGGATGGATCACTTGGTGATTACCTGTTCTGTTCATTCCCTCTGGGGCACCTGGCATTGGCCACTGTCGGAAGACAGGATATTGGGCTAGATGGACCTTTGGTCTGACCCAGTATGGCTGTTTTTATGTTCCCAAAGGCAGCCATCCATCCCCAGTTGGAGAGAGGGTCACTGCAGTGAAGGCCCCTCAAGGATTCCCATTCCTTTTCCTGCTCTTCCAGAAATAAACCATGTTGTAAAGTCTCAGGATCACTCGGCTTAATACGGTATATTCTTTCCTGAATGGCATTTAGGATTAATCTGACTGGGACTTCCATGGGGACCTTCTGCAAGGCTGTGTAACTGTAGGGAGTGATGCTGCTGCTGCACCTCCCCATTCTGAAACTGGACCCAGCTCATTGACTTGGTACCCATGTGGGCATTTTCCGATGTGCCTTGAATATATGACCAGCTATTTCTGCGGTTCTTGTTTTTCTTATTGTAATTTGTCCTCCCAGGAAACCAAAGTCAGCACTAGCAGCAAAATGATGTTGGACTGGGTGAAGAACAAGTCTCCCAAGAAAGAGGAAGATGATTTGCCCAGATGGTCCAGCCAGTTCATCCAAATCACTGCACCCAAGAGAACCAGTGCAGGCTTAATGCATCAGTGGCTGAAGAAGGAAGAAGGGGATCCTTGTGCAAAGAAGCCCAAAACTCAATGAACTGACTTTCAGTTCTGAGTTCCTAAGTAGATGCAGCGTGTTAGCCTGTTAGATCCTGCAGACTGGTAGTGAGACTCCTGTGACTTTGTTGCATTGAGCATTTAAACATGATCTCTAGCACTGATGTGATTTTGTAGCTTGTTGCCCTTCTTGTGCTGATGATTTACTGATTCAGGAGAGCAGTGTTTGGTTTTTAAAACTTTCTTTCTTGTCTTCCATTAGCAGGGACATAGATTTAATGTGCAATGCTCACCTCCCATCAACTTTTTCACTGCAGCCTAGTGGTTGGCACTGACCTGCCTTGGGAACATTTATGAATCAGATACATGTGTGAGAGGCACTTAAACCCAATCCATGCTCTTCCCATTGGATGAGGAACAGAAAAACTGCATGGAATTCTTTCCTGCAGTGGTATTCAGCTGGTTCTCCTTTGTGTTAATTCTCCTATATAGTGTCTGTTCTATACAGATTATTTTGGACACTTTTGGTGTTTTGATGCTTGAGAACTTCTGCAGCTGAAAAATGAACAAAAGAACCTATGTTAAACTGGTATTTAAATCAGAGACAGAGTCCCATTTTCCAAGGCCAGGAAATTCTGGGCTAACACTGCCTTGCTTTGTGTCAGCTCAGCAACATGTATGGGCCTCTGCATACGGGTTCCAGAACAGTGGGATCCTGATGTCATATGTGGAAAGGAGGATGTTCAGGATCCTGGAAGCAAGTGCCATGGGTACAGGTGCCTTTTAAAACTGAGGAAGCATTCTACTGTGGAAATGGGGAGGGGGGGGTGTATGTATGTGTGTGTGTGTGTGTAAGAATAAGAGAGAAATGCCTTGTTAAGTCAGTTTTGCCGGTGAAAGTAAAAAGTGGCCTTACCTTTAAATCCTTTTCCATGCTCATTGTCTGTCCCATTTCTGACAGGCTGACCTGCCTTTAAGGAGTCTGTGTGCTATTGTCAAGGGCTGCTTTGAAAACCATTCCCCAGTGGTATTATAATATTATGGAAGACTCTAGAAATATCCCCTCAAATTTCCCACTGTTGCTACCACTGGTGGTAGCAATGGAAGTTATAATGTAGGCATGAATCAGTATTTTAACCTGTGTTGTCTAACCCTGCTCTGAGCAGGGTTAGATGACACAATGGTAAAATGGCAGCATATTGTCTACACCAGACCTCACGCTGACAGTAGCAACACTGGTAAATTTAAAGAGAAAAAAGTCCTGATGTTCAGAAGTGCTGAGTGCCCACAGCTCCAAATGAAGTCAATAGAAGCTGCAGGTACTCAGTATCACTGAAAAACAAGCTTTAATGTGTTGGCATGACCTTAGAGAGCAGGTTCCTGGGAATTACTGGGTTTAATCTGTCTCCTGTGGCAGCCATAACTCCTAGCTTTATTATTTTTTGTGGGGAGTTGTGTGGGAAAACTTGTCTTGGCCATAATGTTTGTGCAATCTTTTTATTAATAGGATTTTAAGATTTAGAGAGTATTTTCTGAATTCTTGATCCAGAGAGGGAACAATCACTCTTTTGAGTAGGTAGATCACTGGATTGTCACTAAAGTATATTTTTTTGTCTTTGGTCTGGGACTTGAACAAACAGTGACAGTCAAATGTTAGAGCAAAGCCCTTAGCATGTGGGAGCTCTCTGGAGAGCATCACTTATTTGTATTTGAAGTAGTAGTTTGTAGAAAATAAAAAGCGATCAGTTGGCTTGTTGTGATGTGTCCTTGTGTGAGTCTGTCTCTCTGTACTTGTTATCAATCCATACTCATCCACTCCACAAGCAATGTGAATAATGTGTCTTCCTCACCCTTGGGAAAAGAGCGACTTCACAGAGTATAGTGAGCTGTAAGACTTTTGGCTGGATAAAGTTCCTGAAGAGGTAAGAGTTTATTTACAAATTAAAATATTCTCAGAAGGCAGATTGATGGCTCCACTCAGAACTGCTTTGTTCTAAGGGAGCTCCACAGATGCTTCTTAGCCGCTGTGGAGAGTCTTGGGGGATGGGCGGTTGAGCAGCAGCCCTTGGAGTGTCGAATAGGAGTGTGGTGAGATACAGTACCATTAAACCGGGGAGAACCAAATCCATGCTGCTGCAAGGAAGTGAGTTATTTTAAAAGTATCAAAGATATATGAGAATCTTTCGGTAACCCATTACATTACATTCATTGGGAAATGCTCCATTGAGCCCCATTTCTGACACCTTTGAGGAGCTAGGGAATGTCTCCTGCTAGCTGATCAGTAGTTTGGGGTGGATTTAGTGTTTCCCCTTGTCTATGCTTAATGTAAACTAGCCAGAAACAGTTTTGCAGTCTATTTCCCTATCATTGCCATCATTAATCTCTCAAGACAAAATAATTTATTATCTAATTTCAGTCCCATTCCAGACTGGAAGAATCAGAGGGCTTGATTTGTGGTCCCTGAAACTGTTGCCTCAACACCATCTATGTGCTTCAGCAAGCAACATGCAGAAAGTGAGAAATAGATTTCTTCCTCTGCCAAGTAATTTCTTCTCTAGACAGAATGATTTTGCTGCCCTTCTTCAGTGCATTGGCTGTAAACAGCAACCATTACAGAACAGACTACAAAAAGTCACAAGCGTGCATTTAATAATTGTTTTAAAACTCCCTGTTGCTACTAATGGAGGGAGGCATGAGGTGAATACAGACCTGGCAATCAGGAATACCTGAATTCTAATCCTCCTCCTAATACTCCTTTATTGCCTTGGACCACTCATCATCCCTCTCTGCCTCAATTTTCCCATCTGTAAAATGGGGAATAATCCTTCCCCCTAACACTCATAAGGGCTGATTATGTGTAGAGCATTTTGCAGGTAGAAAGCCCTGGAAGTGTTATCACTAAATAACTATATTTATATTTATATACTGTTATCTCTAAATAACACCTTTAAACTTACATCTATTTCCAAATCAAATGTGTCTCCATTCAGAAACTGTTAATTTTTTTTAAATGAACATACTTGGTGCCATAATCTCATCCTGAAGCTCATATACTTGCTTCAAATGAAGCCCTTCTGTTGAAAGCCAAATGCCAGTTCTGCAGGCCCTAATTCTCCCACTTCCAGTTATGCCAACAGCTGTGTCAGTAACCTTAGAAAACAAATGTTTTTTTTTTTTTTGTGTTGATCTCTCAGGAATGAGGAATTTTTATTTTACATGCGAGTATAAAACCTAGCACTAAAACCAGGGGCTTGCAAACCCATTGCCAATAGCCAGGGAAGTTTATTGTTTTGGGAAAGGAAAAAGCCCATCCTGTTAAGGTAGCAGGAGACTGAAATTAAATGAGATTTTCTTTAGGTGTTTGCACAGTGAGACAATAGGCCTTTTTCTAGAAGGGCAGCTAGTGGCATTATCGGTTTCATCAAAGACGGACAATGTGGCCAGGTCTACATTAGCCTTTTTTCTGAAAAGTTTCACACTCCCTCACTGGTGGTAGCAAAATGGAAGCCCTAATATAGAAAAAGTTGGTGGAAGCAGCAGCAACTAGGGTTTTAACCTCTGTCATGTAGATTTATATGATGATGCAGCTGCTGTACGCTAGGGCTCCCAGTGATGGAATTACTCCAGTATTAGAAATGGTGGGATTTATTTGCTGAAAAAGGACTAATGTAAACACAACCTAAGGATTATTGGATAGCAGATCTGCCCTACCAAAATTGGGATCTACAACAAGAGAGCTGGGATCCTCTGTATTTTGCTGATTGTCCTTGATTTTATTGAGAATATTTGAGAAGGTGAGAGACTGCTTGCTCCTCCGTGGCACTCCCCTAGGGGAAATACAGCTTGCTCAAGTAGGGAGAGAGTGATCTACTGGCTGCCCTTCTGTTTGTGGTCTACAGTGTCACTATGTTGGCACACCTTTAAAAAACTCTCTTAATTTCAGAGTTCTGCTGCTTTGCAGACAGAAGCTCTCCATCTTCCCAGCACGAGCAGGACAGGTACCAATGGTGGTACTTACAGCTGTTAAAACTGATAATCTACACATTCCTCTTTTTACTTTAATATAGGAGCCTGATGGCCGGTTGCTCCCCCTTCCATTGGGTGTGCTTCAACCCACATTAGCACTTGTATTGCTCATGAGCATAAACCTGCAGTTTGGAGCTACCCAAAATTCATGATGGCTCAAAATAGCACAGTTGAACAGGGGGGGCAGAGTCTGGATCATACAGCCAGGTTTGTCTCTGATGTTTATTCCTACTAGAGCATTTAACACTGATACAGCCCTTCCAAATGTTTTATAAACATTTATTCAAGTTTAAGTGGTCCACATGTATATGTGGTCCTTATGTACATAAATACTTCATAGCAGCCCTGGGGAAAGTCTTAAAGCTGTGGAAGCTGATGCTCAAGAGAGGTAAAGTGGTGCCAAAGGCTAGAGTGAGGCAGTATTAGATTTGCAATTAGAATTTGAGGCTTCCTCCTTCTTAGTTCCCTGTTTACACAGCTAGGGTGCCCTGTTCTGAAAGACAGGAGCAGTAGTCCTTTGCCTTGGCACAAAATCTACCTGCCCACATTGTTCATAACAACAGAGGGAGGGAAATATATTTTTCTTGCCTGTGACGACCCCCCCCCCCATCCAATACCAAAGTGACTTGGCCCATACATGGGCAAGAAGAGAGGATAATATTGTACACCAAAAGAGAGAGGCGCAGCCGTGAGCTACAGAGCTATTGGGGTACAGTGCAGTGCAAGGAACTGGTGTTTACAGCGGGACTGGAAGGTGAACTCAAGCGTGGAGGGTTTTCTCCGAGCCTGATATGAAGCAGATCAGACGCCAAAGAAGCCTAGCGTGACTACTTAAAGCACTATAGCCGAAGCAGGGGAAGAAATCTCCTTTCCCTGGTGCATCGCTTTGTGAGGCAGCCAAAGATCCCGTCTCCTTACAGCTGCTGTTGCTGCACATTAATATGCTTCACCACCAGCTCCCTTTGCAGGCGGCCCAGCCAGCGTCTCGACTGCCACTCCAGCCCCATCCGAATCCGAGCATAGGGCGTTGCGAGCCCTATGCAAATCAGGGATCGGAATATCCGCCAATGGGAGCCTGGTCGGCTCGCACTGCCGCCAATGGGAAGCGGCCGGTGGCCTGGGCTTTGATTTATATCCGCTAGCGGCTGCGAGTATTATTGTCATTGCAGCTGCGGGTGTCTGGCAGGGCGGATCGGGCTCAGTGCGGTGGTGAGGGCCAGGGCTGTGCCTTGGGTTTTAGTCCCTGGAGGGTTTATTTTAATTGCATGCGCATCGCTGCCCGGGGCGCCTCGCTGGAGGCTGCAGGCGGGGGCATGTAACCTGCTGGGTCGGGGGCAGGTCACCGGCCTCGCCAGGCCTCTCGGCGCTGCAGCCCGCGGGTGCGTCGTAGCCCTGGCGGGCGGCTCCCGGCGCGGTCCCTAGGAGCGGATCGTGCCACTCGGGCTGCGCGTTATAACGGTGTTGTGTCCCCCTCCCTAGGCCTCGGGACCGGCTCGGCGCCTCTCCTCCCGGCCGGCAGCTGCCGGCATCGGCCCCTGCTCCCCGCGTCACCCCCGCCATGTCCGGCCGAGGGAAATCCGGCGGCAAAGCGCGAGCCAAAGCCAAGTCTCGCTCCTCTCGGGCCGGCCTGCAGTTCCCGGTGGGCCGCGTGCACCGGCTCCTGCGGAAAGGCAACTACGCGGAGCGGGTCGGGGCCGGGGCACCCGTCTACCTGGCCGCCGTGCTCGAGTACCTGTCGGCGGAAATCCTGGAGCTGGCCGGTAACGCCGCTCGGGACAACAAGAAGACGCGGATCATCCCCCGGCACCTGCAGCTCGCCATCCGCAACGACGAGGAGCTCAACAAGCTGCTGGGCGGGGTGACCATCGCCCAGGGCGGCGTCTTGCCCAACATCCAGGCCGTGCTGCTGCCCAAGAAAACCCAGAGCTCCAAGAAATGAGCCCCGAGCCACCCGCATTCCCAGGAGGTCAATCGGTCCGCGATGCGGTGTAGCCAACATTGGCGTTCCCCTCGTATCCTCTCCGTGTGCCCACTCTCCCCCCTCCGCCCCCACGTTCCCTCCATTGCTGCCCTCCTGACCCCCATGTGCTAGCTTTGCAGTCCTGCAGCAGGGGAGGTTGTAGCTCTTACTACAGAATGATTATGAGCCGGTGATTCTTTCCCTTCCTCTCCAGCCCCCAGCAAGGGGGGAGGTATGGCAGGAAGGAAGGAAGGAAGCAGTCTGAATTTGAAATAATAATAATCATAAAAATCCCTTACCCGGGTACCTGCACCCTGCCTGGTGCGCCTAGGTTGCTTTCTGGACTGTTTGGCTGCAAAGCTATCCTTCCAGGGTTGCTGGTCAACAACTCTGTTCTCAGAGCAGCATCTGTAGGGTCGGTCGCTTGTTTTTCTGGACCTGCTCGCATTCGGTTGGAAGAAGCGTTTGGGAGAAGGAAGAATTGGTTGGTGTTCTCTCTCTCTTTTTTTTTTTTTTTTTTCCTTTCCCCCCCCCCCCCTCCGGAGGGTGTAACTAACTGCAAGGGAAAATATTTTGCGCAGTGAAAGCTCCAGCCTGGAGCAGGAAGAGACTGGGCTCAGTCAATGCTCTTTTTATTTATGTTGTGTTTGTGGATGTAACCGAAGATCCCATGTACCTTTCCTTTGTATTGTATCTGGATATTATTTGGGGGGTGGGAGAATCATGAAGGGTGATCTCTCCCTATTGCTTAACTTTTGCACAAATGATCTACTTTACTTTCTCACCTTGCTCCATGCAGGAGGTAGGGAAGTTCAGGAGGGTGATAATTTTACCTGCTGTTGCTGCACATCCCCATAAATGTGATCACAAATGGACTTAGTAAGTACAAGGAGGGTGGGGAGGCCAGGAGACTTTCCAAATGTGGAAAAAGAAGTATCTGTTTCTGGGAGGAACTAGTCATTCAGTTACCAAGGCTTGTTTTGTCCAGTGGTATAAGCTACGATGTCATCAACTGTAAAAGAGCCCTAACTTGGGTCTCCTGTTACATTTTGAATCCCTTCTTGCAAAGTCACCTTACTGTAGCTGTTTGGCTGAGTTCATGCACTCAGTGGACTAGTAGGATTTAGTTATTTCTCATTAGTGTGGGTCCTGTATGATTTGGGGGAAAGGGTGCACTTGAAAATACTCTAAAAGAGCATTACAAGGTCATGAGTTTACCATTGGCAGGGAATGGAAGCTGCCATTGGTTTCTTTCCCTTTTTTTTTTTTTGTCAGATTAATAGCCTTATGTTGCAGAACCTCTTACTTTTATTGAGAACTTAGCACTTGTACCCTAATTGCACTTTATAATGACATGCAGTGTTTTTGTTCATCACTACTTCTGGGTCTTAAAATGAAGTGCTGATTATACATCTGTTAACAGTAATCCTCCTTAATGGATTAATGTTTCTTTTTTTAAAAACCTATAATTTACATAAAGCAAATATATAGTTAATGTGGTGGTTATTAAATGGTTATTTGGATAATGTATGAGCATGAAAGTCAGCCTAGCAGTCCCTGTGACACATAGTAGCTGTGATCTTATAGAAATTGGTATAAAGAGCAACCTTGTTCCTTATCGTGAGGGCAGCTTGTTTATGTGGAAGGTTGATAGAATCATGTGCATGCAGCAGTGTCCAGGCTGTTGGACAGTAGAACTTCATAATCTTCTTAAAGTGCAATGGACAACTGTGTCTGTGCTGTAAGTAGCATGTGTTCCACCTATCAAATCAGCTCTTAATTTTGTAGATGAAGTAACTTGCTCTGATTCAATTATGTTATTATCTAGAGTAGATGAATTTGGATGCCTGTAAGTGGTTTTATGAAGGGGTTTTTCACTCCATTGTAGAATGTGGAAAAGGTATGTTACTAGACTACTGATTAGTAATAATGGAGAAGCAAACTTGATATGGCGCTGGCTATCTGGGGAATTCTGTGGTTTTCACCCCTCCTCAGTGCAGGCCTGGGGGAAACCGTCTTGTTTCTGGGCAGCTGTATCTTACTGCTGTTGCACGGGACCCATTTGGGTTTTTCCTTCTGTAAACTGAGCATCACGTCATACTGGGGTGGATGCGGGAGGCAATTAGGAATTTTTCTTTATATACAAACCACTGTTTAGAGAATGGAGATTCTAAAATGTCTCTGTATCTTAGTGTCTTGTGTTCTTTTGTTTCTCTAGGACCAGCATTCTATACAACTCAAAGGAGATTGCTTTGTATTTCTTAGAAAATGCAGAACTTGTGATACTGGAAAAAAAAACAATGCAAACCCAAAATCTGATTAAACTGGTTCAGTATTGAATGTATGTCAAACTTGCTGTCTGTTATCACCACATCACCTAACTCTTGCTTGCATTGGAATAGTCATATCTGAGGAAACAGGCTTATATTTTTATGTCAATAACTTTGTATTTGGATTCAGTCTTCCTGGGAGGGATAACTGGTTTAGACCAGCAATCCCAGTTGCCATGGGCGTTATATTTATTTTTTCACTCCAGATTGATCCCCCTCCCCTATCTGTGTGAACAAACATAATAGTCATCCTCCAAATTTTTCTCCCCACTGCTGGCAATGTAGAGTTACTTGATGACCCAGCCAGTGAGGCAAACACACAGAAATTTGAATCTCCCTCAGAAGGTGTGACCTGCAAGGAAAAGAAGAGATGGACTAGAACACTTACTCAGCTGGCTGATAAGAAGCTTGAGACTGTACACTAGAAGTTCAGCTTCTGTGCAGACTTAAGTTTCATATACCCTTTTCAACTTGTACTTAGGTGGAGAGCTCACAATAGATATGCCAGGAGACATCTAGGATGTCATTCTGCAAAGCCAGGAAAGGCAAGACTTGTAATCCTGACTCTCTTCCATGGGTGGGCAGCCAATTGAAAGAAAACAGGGTGGGGTGGAGAAGGGTGCAGGAGGAGAGGACCATAGGTGCTGCACCCCCTGGCTTGAAGTGGTTTCCATCATATGCAGGGTTGACAGTTTGGTTCAATGGCTCTCAGCACCCCCACTGAACAAATTGTTCCAGCATCCCCGGAGAGCATGCAGGCAAGCTTGGGGGGGGAAAAAATGCTGGTTGTCTTTTAAAGAACTTGTAAATAGAAGATATTGAGCAACTTAATTATTTGTATGCCACTAGCACCAGTAAGGATTGGGGCCCCTTTGCTCTGGGCACTAGACAAACACAAATAAGGCTGTCCCTGTTGTGAAGAGCTTACAGTTTAGGACAGGATGCCACATGTGTATGTAACAAACAATTAAAGGAATGGGGGTTGGAAACCTGGCAATGGAGGAAGGGGGGGCAATAATTAAAACATTACCCACTACTGGGTCTTCTGTCTGTTAAATTCTAGGTAAGTGTCAGAAGTGCCTGACTAGCCACCTATTTGGCTCTTTCAATTTAGGAAAGAGTTTTGGTTTCTCTTGTGCCCTGCATCCAGTGGAAGGCAGGCTGATGTGTTCTTAACAGATATATTTATTATAGTTGATAAAAGCAGGTGATTTATTTATTTTTTATTAGCTGGGGTTTGGCTTTAGCATAGGTAGGTACACTTTACTTGTGCGTATTTAAACTCCATCCCAGTCCGCACTAGTCAAATAACAATACTGTGCAATTTTGGATTCCAAACCTACTTTAAAAACTTCTCCTATTTTTTTTTTTTAAACTGTCAGATGTTTATAGTATTGTGACTTTAACTGGTAGCCTGCCATGAGATTTATTTTTTTTTTTTTAATTGCTCAAAGAGGGAAGAAAATGTTTTCCTCAATTTCCTTTACTCTACCTTGTGCATTTGGCAGCATTTTATGCACAGTTACCCACAAATACATGCAGGAAGCTATTTTGCATAGCAACATGGGAGAAGAAAAGTTCCATTAACAACAGGAAAAACACCAATTATCAGAAGGGAATTGGACAGGTCTGGCAACTGAAACTGCTTCTAACTCTTCTAAAACTGATTAGATTTCAAATTAATAGTGTCCTTTTAATTCTGCAAAAACTTGTGTTGTCATCTAGGCCCAGATTAGGGTTGGGCAAGTCAAATATTTGAAAGCACTAATTTATTAAAACAGTAACTAAGAGTAAGATTTTTATGGTCTCCAATAGACTTATCCTTAAATAGTTATGCCTAGTAAGTTAACTGAGTTATTTTAACTCAGAGAAATGCAAAACAGTCAAAAAGGTAGGCTGCTGCCTACATCAGGGCATTCTTGCTGGAATACTTCACCAATTATTTGACTATGGTAAAATATGGTCGTCTATTGACTACTTGGTTGAGCTCCTCAAAGGTATTTAGGTGCCAACCCTCATTGTGTTCGGGCACCCAACTGCCACTGTAATCCTTTGAGGATTTGAGCCTTAGTGATTAAGGAAACTACCCCAGACCTGCTTTTATAGTGCCACGATAACCTTGGCAGAGGGTAATAAAAGTGAAAACTGCATTAGGAGAATGGACTGAAGCGACTGACTTAACCTAGCAAATCTCTTGTATTTTAGCTTCTCCGTGATTGCAGGTTTATATCCACCAGCCCTGCAACTCCACCTGGGATTTGAAAATCGAGCTATGTTCTTCTGCATGTCAGTTACAAAGCTTCTGTAATCTGAATTTAGCTGATGGCTTTGTTGATAGAATAGAATTCACCCCTCCCCATTCTGTATAGTTGTACCACAAGGAGCACAAGTTGTGGCAGTAAATCAGAGAGCTCTGACGTAAAGGGAGTAGCTACACTGAGTTAGGAAGGGCCATTTTCATCTAGTCATTTACTTGGCCTCTGTGCTGTGATAGTGTAGTAGACTGCACTCCTGTCTGCCCACAGATTGTATAAACCATGGGCAGTGACAGTGCAAGTTTTGTATTGTTTCTTTGTGCTCCCTGTCTTGTCTTTATACAGTAAAGTCTTTGTTCTCTTAGTACAGGGCCTAGCACAATGGAGTCCTGGTCCATGACTTGGGTTTCCATGTGTAACTGCAGTAATTGTCTTCTCCATGCTGTCCTATCAATGGGCCTGCCCTTGCCTGCAGGAACCAGTGCTGCAGGTGAGGGGGGAGTGCAGTCTCTGCTGAGACTGCTAATGTGTGGGGATTGCTCTTGTGAGGTAAGCTCCTAGGGCTTTACCCAAAGCTTGCTGATGCCTGGGGCGGGGTGTTTCTACTGATTTCTATATACATTTAATCAGGGG